TCAATCAAATGTTGGGAAACTATTGATTTTTTCAGTAATTACAAGTGATCTTACAACCAATTATTGCAATAAACTTTATTTTTGAAATGTAATACGCTATATATATAAAGGTTAAACATATAAGTTATTACATTACAAAGATTATGGCACGTATACAAATTTCATTAACCACTAAAAATGAAACATTTTGATACACATACAAGTTACCTTTTCCACTGATACCCATCAAATGCTAGGATTTTTTCTCGGTAAATGTGATATAAAAATCAACTAATAAACTTTGATTAATAAACTTTACTTTTGAAATGCAATACATTATATATATTTGAAGCGTTAAACATATAAGCCATTACATTACAAAGATTATGGCACACTTGTACAAATTTCAAAAACCACTGAAAGTGAAACATTTTTATACAGAAAATAGAATGATGCGGAACAATTGGAAAAGAAGTTGCAACCAATTCAGACACTTTACAGTTGATTTCAACGAAAGAATAAATACATCAAAATTTAATCAAGACAAATGTTTCACTTTTTATGGCCTAGGATTCTCCAAATGACTACGATCAGAACCGTTAAGGCTTGAAATATATTACATAAAAGTCTTCCCCTTAAACCTACTCGTTTTCTTTGTTACATTCGCAAAAAAATAGAAAGCGAAAGAAAGAAACGAAATACAGTTCGTCGTTTACAAGCTCGGCGTCTGATAGAGTCCATTAATGCCATTACCGTTTGTCGCTCCACCATTGCCATTCCCGTTACCATTAGGGGCACCATAGTAATATCCATTACCGTTCCCATTACCATTACCGTTTCCGTTGCCGTTGACACACCATCCCATTGCCATTTCCGTTACCATTCCGTTGCCGTTGGTGTATCCATTCCGTTGCCATTGACAACACCATTCCCATTGCCATTGGTAATACCATTACCCGTTACCGTTGGTGTATCCATTTCCGTTATTACCGTTGCCATTGTTCCGTTGGTGTTAATCCATTGTTGCCCGTTATTACCGTTGCCGTTGGTGTATCCATTTCGTTTTGCCCCGTTGGTGTATCCATTTCCGTTACCATTGTTGCCGTTGGTGTACCATTTCCGTTGCCGTTGGTGTATCCATTTCCGTTACCGTTGCCGTTGGTGTATCCATTTCCCCATTCCCGTTGCCGTTGTGTATCCATTTCCGTTACCATTCCCGTTGCCCATTTCCGTTACCATTCCCGTTGGTGTATCCATTTCCGTTACCATTCCCGTTGCCGTTGGTGTATCCATTTCCGTTACCATTACCGTTGCCGTTGCCATTTCCGTTACCCGTTGCCGTTGGTATCCATTTCCGTTACCATTACCATTTCCGTTTACCGTTGGTATATCCATTTCCGTTACCGTTATCCATTTCCGTTACCATTACCGTTGCCGTTGCCATTTCCCCATTTCCGTTAATATCCATTTCCGTTGCCGTTGGTATATCCATTTCCGTTACCATTACCGTTGCCGTTGGTAGTTGTATATCCATTTCCGTTACCATTACCGTTGCCGTTGGTATATCCATTTCCGTTACCATTCCAACCATTTCCATTGATATTACCAATCTCAGCATTCAATCCGTAGAACTGTTCAGCCGTGGAACAGTCAAAGTTGTACCACCAATCGCACACGAAGTATTGCTGATTAAACACTGTGCCGTTGGGACAAAGGAACGAGTCGATCCTGCCTCCTGCCTGACAGATGTGGAACACCTGAAATACATCAATTTTGACTTTAATTTGTTTGATGTATTAAACATTGACCTCAAACACACAAAATGTATGGAAATTTCACTGAAATACATGTGGATGTTGATGGTAATATGAATCAACGAAATACGTTTAGGAATACTTTAGAATCTACCAAAGTATTTCAAAATAAAAATTCTACTATTTCATCCTCACCTCAATATCTACATTGCAACTTTAGATGAAAAATTCTCTGCAAATCTTTTTAATGTACGTGGCTCTGTTTAAGCCACGCCCTACTCTATTCCAGCTTTGTACATGCACTTGCAAACACTTTACTCAAGTAGTGAAACCTAAACTAGAAAACCGTATTGGAATGATCCCTTTCTATTGATCTCGTTTCCCCTGAATTAAATTTTCTTTGACAGGACCTGGCACTCACCTGGCAGCCGGCCTCGGGAGCAGTGTCAGCGTAATATCCAGGCAGTTGGCCGTTGCAGGAGAAGCCGGTGGCGGGGACGAAGGCCAGGATGGGGTAGTCCACACCTGGGACGCCTCCGCCGCCAATGGCATCGGCCAGAGCTCGGAAGGGATCCACAACGCCATTGGCGTACACGGTCACTCCATTTCCGTTCTGATATCCTCCGTTCACACCGTTTCCATTAGTATATACCCCATTGCCATTTGCACCATTTCCATTAACATATACTCCATTACCATTTGCACCATTTCCATTAACATATACTCCATTACCATTTACACCATTTCCATTTCCATTCACACCATAA